CTCTCTCCCGGCTCTCTCCCGGCTCACTCTGCTGTCCCGCCGTCCCCAGGTGACTCCTGCTCCTGCGCCGGGTCCTGCAAGTGCAAGAACTGCCGCTGCCGGAGCTGCCGCAAGAGTGAGTGGGGGGCTCAGGGTGGGGAGATCCGGCCTTGCCCTGGGGAGAGGGGGGGGCTGCCACTGTCCTGTGGGACCCCAATGGGCACCTCCCTGCTCCATAGGAGAACCCCTCCTTGCCCGGAGGACCTCCCTGCTCCGTAGCGGGATCCCTCCTTGTCCTGTGGGAGCCCATGGACACTTCACTGCCCCACAGGGGAACCCCTCCTTGCCCTGTCAGACTGCCATGGGGACCTCCCAACCCTTGTCCCGTAGACAGCCCCCTCTTGCCTTGTAGGAATCCCTGTGGAGACCCCTCCTCTCCCCCATGGGGAGGCCCCTGCCCTGTAGGACCCTCATGGAATCCCTCCCTCCTCCTCTGGCCCACGGATACCCCCTCAGCTCCTCTTTGTGGAGAGGGCTGCCCCTGCCCTGTGGGACCCTCATGGAGACCTCCAGCACATTGAGATCACAGCCCATTGGGAACACAGATGTTGTGTTTCCCAGTCTCCACCGGGTGGCCCTGCCCCGTGGGACCCCCTTCCCTTCCAGCCGCCCCCTAACTCTTGTGTCCTCCCCTAGGCTGCTGTTCCTGCTGCCCCGCCAGCTGCAGCAACTGCGCCAAGGGCTGCGTGTGCAAGGAGCCGGCCAGCAGCAAGTGCAGCTGCTGCCACTGAGCCGCGCGGCTCCGCTGTAAATAGCCGGCACGCTTCGGGGGCGGGGGGGCACGGGAAAAAACTACTTCTTCTTCTTTTTTTTTTTTTTCACGTTATGTATTTTCTGTACCAGTGGTGAAACTGGATGGAAATAAAGGATTTGTTCTCGAGGCACGAGTGCTGCTGTCGGGCTGGGCTGGAGGCTGAGAACGGTCGCCACTCGTGACACCCGTGTGGGAATTGTCGCTGCAGGGTGCGAGGGGGCTGCTCACGAACACCCCTGTGGCCTTCCCTGAGTGGGCTCTGTGCCTCCCTGAGGGGAGAAAGGAGCCTGGGACACAGGGCAGGGGACAGATCTCATCCTGCATGCGGGGTGGCTCTGGGCATCTTTAAGGTGCTGGTCTCCCCATGAGGACAGGTGACATGCCTAGGAGGGTGGGCGAGCAGTGGCAGGGAGGGCTCCAGCCCTCTCCAGCCTTTCTTTGGCTTCATGGCAGGTGCCTCTGCACCACCCTGGAGCTTCCTCTGGGTGAAAGAGTTTGTGGGAGCAAGTGAGGGAAGGTGTCATGGCCTGGCCACGTGCCTGCCCTGAGCTGCTGCTGGAGAGCACTTGGAGAAATCCTAGTGGGGACAAACCTCCCTTCCCCAGGAACTTATGCTTTACAAACCCCAATCCATTGCAGAACAGATCATTCCCAAACAGGCACTTTCCCTGCAGCCTCCCCATGCCAAATACCTCCAGCTACAGTGCTTGTATCCTCCTGCCCTGGGCAGGAGCACTTTTTTACAGCTCATTTTTGGGGAACACCTTTCTTGGAGCTGCGATGACCTTCAGAGGCAGGAGGGCAGATAACCGTAGCCATGAATGCTGCCTGGATAAGGGGTGGCTGCTGGGAGTGGGGAAGGAGGACACTGGGAAGATGCACGAGGTGTGTTTTGCTTCCAAAAGTCTCTGCCAAGTGAAAGAGTCATTTTTCAAGCACCTGCTTGCCCATACATGTCCCCTGGGTGTGCCCCACCACAGATGCAGGTTCCCAGCCCTGCTGCCATCGCCCTTTCTCTGCTTCTTGGGGCAGTGGGACAGCTCAGCCTGACAGGGATGTCTCCTCCAGCACTTGGTGACAAGACACCAGGGACAGGACCAATTTAAAAAGCAGCAAAATCAGTCCCTTTGGCACCCGTGTAGTCCTCTCTGCTAGGCTGGGTGGCACAAGGGGGGTTGTCTGCAAGGGGGGAGTATCTCAGTCTCCAGGGGTGCTCCAGGCACCCAGGGGAGCTGCTCACCCCTTCCCCAAAGGTTTGCCCAGCTTCAGCACGTGGCTCTGCAGTTGGTGCCCAGCCTGCTCAGCACCCAGCCTTGCCAGTGAGAAAAGCAACACCCAGCTCAGCACCCATTTGCCTTTTAAATGCTTTGCCTTATTACATTAGTGTATCTTTGCCTAAGCAGCCTTCCAGCACTGCCTGTTGCAACAGAGGCTTAGCACTGGAGATGGGTTATAAGGGTCTGCCCTGCCCTAAATTCATATAAAAAAGCATAAATCCCATGAGAAGATGCTTTGCTGGAAAGCAAGACTGGCTTGGCCCCACTGCTGGAGCCCCACTGTGCAGCAGGGCTGCAACCCCGGCCACTGCAGCAGAGGGGCTGCAAACTGAGCCCCCTGGGGCTGGGCACCCAAATCCTGCACCAGAAACAAAGCTGGGGCACGGATGGGGTTTCCCCTCACAGGAAGAGCCTCAGGCACCAACTGCTCCCTGTTCCCAGTGACTGCCAGGGTGAGACGTGGGCACACACCTCTGCACCCTGCTGGTGCCAGCCTGCCCTGCCTGCTCCTGGTTCTGCCTGCGCATCCATCCGGCAGAGGTGGGAACTCTCAGCCTCGGTGCCCTTTCCAGCCTCCCCAAGAGGGACTTGAGGAAAGGAAAGCTACAGGATAAATGGAAAGAGTGTGGGCACCCATGTGAGGCACTGGCCTGGGATATGTCCAGCACCTGGTTTTGCCTGTGGCTGCACTCAGTGAGGTACCTGAGAGCTTTCTGGTCCCCTCAGGAGCATTTTCAGTATAAAAAAGTACTTTTTGATGAAGTAGTAACTGCTCTCAGCCTGCAGACAGCTGTGTACAGCAGGAGAGTGATGGGAGCCTTTGCTTGATGCAAGAAGAGGCTGATGTGCTTTATCCAGCCCCTCAAAGAAAAGCCTAGCTCAGTTTGCAGAGGAGGTTGGAGGTGACCAAGCATCCCCCCGGGGCATCCAAGGGGGTCCTGGGCACACCTCCAGTCAGGCAGCCCTACAGCTGCCCGTGGGGCTGCATTCAGTTCCACTTTTTCTGGCTCTGCATGAGCCCCAGAGGCATGATGGATATTCATGACCCTGTGTGGTGCTGACATGATGATGACACGTGCCCTGTGCAGACAGAGTGTGCACCCTGTGCAGAGGAGGGATGCACTGGGTGCAGAGGGGACGAGCACCCTGTGCACATGACACACACCCTGTGCCGAGGGGACATCGTCCTGTGCAGAGGGGACAAGCGCTGTGTGCAGAGGGGGTGTGCACCCAGTGCAAACACACCCAGTGCAGAGAGTAAACACATCCAGTGCAGAGGTGACAGGCACGTGTGCACAGGGGAAATACACCCTGTCCCCAGGGAAAATGCACTCAGTGCGGAAGGGGAATCATAGTCATAGAATTGTTAAGGTGGAAAAAGCCCTCTAAGGTCATCAAGTACAACCATTACCCCAGCACTGCCAAGCCCACCACTAAACCATGTCCCCAGGTGATAGACCTACACATCTTTTAAATCCCCCCAGGCGTGGTGACTCCACCACTTCCCTGGGCAGCCTGTCCCAGTGCTTGGCAACACTTTCAGTGAAGATGTTTTTACTAATATCCGATCTAAACCGCCCCTGGCACAGGAGTGATGAGCACCCCATGCTCAGAGGATGGGCAGCCAGGGCAGAGGGGACGGGCACCTGGTGTAGAGGGGACAGCGCCCCGTGCACCCACTGCAGAGGGGACGGGCACGCACAGAGGGAACAGCATCCCGTGCCCAGCGTTCGGAGGGCTCGGGCCCCACCGCAGGAGCGGCTCCTCCCGCGCCGAGCCCTTCCGCAGGGATCTGCTGCCACCTGCCTGCCCGCAGCACCGCGTCCCTGCCCGGCCCCGCTTCCCGCGGTGCCATCCTGTCCTTGCTCCCCTGCTCTCTGCCTGTGCCCGCTATCCCGGGTCCCTGCCTGTCCCCATTCCCCCCGGGTCCTGCCTGTGCCCGTTCCCTCCCGGTCTCGGCCCCTCGGGGCGGCTGTTCCCCCCTCCCGTCCCAGAGGCACCAGCACCGCTCCCCGGGCAGACCAGGACTCTCCTCCTCTCGCTGGGAAGGCGCTCCGGGAGCCTGGATGGGCTCAGGGAAAGGTGGGGTGGCACGGCCACCCTGCCAGGGCACCCATCCCGTCAGGATGCCCATCACACCAGGACGTCTGTCCCACCAAGGCACTTCCATCCCACAGGGCACCCATCCCACCAGGACATCCATTCCACCAGGGCATCCTGTCGGGGACAAGTGCACCCCTCAAACTGTCTGCCCCAAACACTCCAGTGCCAGAGCAGCCTCCCCCTGCTGATTTTTGGGATGAAGTTCCATGGTTGGTTTAACTGGGCACCCTGTGGGCCAAGCCCCAGCACAGCAGACCCCAGAGCATGGAACAGCCCACGCCACAGAGAAAACATACTTTATATGTGCCAGACCTCAGCATATAGTGCTGAATACACCAGAAATTGCTAAACCTACAGATTTACAAAGAACACGGACTCCAGGGAGCCAGGCAGGCAGACAGCATTGAAAAAAACCTGATTTTTTGGTGACACCAGCCAGCTGCTGAACAACCAGTGAGTGTCACAATTCAGGGAGAGCAACCTCCCCACCTCAGAGGGGGAGAATTCAGGGTTTGCTTTTTTTTTTTTTTTACTGGGGAAGGTGGCTGAGCTGGAATGGCTGTGAGTCACCTTCACCCCCTTGGAGACCTGAAGCAGGGCTGTAATTTATAGCAGAAGTGTTTATGGGCCTCCTTGCACTCTGATGGGGTCCTAAATCTCTGCTATACCTCAGAGGTGCTCCTGTCCTGTGGGCTGGAGCAGGGGCAGACCCAGCACTGAGGCAGGCAGCTCCCAGATAACTACATTTTAGAGCCACCTTGGGTGCTTTTTTATGCCCTAAGTGATGCTTGTGACTGGGAAAATGTGAAGTGGCAGGAGATGATATATGACAGCTTGAGAAAACTCGTGTTTAGTGAGGCAGAGGAAAGAAACCCCCAGGAGACTTCAAGGAAAGTCATGTTTTGATGTGTCATCCTGCATCCAAGAAGATACACTTGGGAAAACCCAGATTTGGGTGTTGGGGCAGGCTGGGATGTAATTTGTCCAGGTACATCCCAGCAAGGGCAGATTTCCACGCAGCTGCTTCACTGACCAGTGAGCAGAGCCATGAATCCATAGGCATGGATGCACCCTGACCCACTGCCTGCACTTTGCAAACAGGGGGAGCAACTGTAGCCTGTACCAGCACTGCCTCTGGGCCTGGAGCTGCCTGGGAACTGCTTTTTACAGGGGAACTTCTGGAAATAGAGGCTGTACTAACGGGAAAATCTGTTTGGTTTTGAAGGGCTGTAGGAAATCTTGGTGCTGCACCCACTTGCTTCCCTTTCTGGGATCCAAGGGGTTCATTGCAGCTGAACAATGGTGCTTATGGATTTCTTCAGCAGGAATAAGGGGTGAGCTGGGCAAAGGGGAGCAGGGGTCTGCTTTTTGCTGCTGCTTCTTAAAACAAGCCTTAATGAAGGAAAAATACATGCTCATATTTGTGGGGGTGACTTTGAAAGTTTGATGGTGATGTTTTGGAGTAGTGGCAAGGTCCAGCCATCACCTCTTAAACAAGTAGGATGCTGGAGGTACCCTTGCCATGTCCATGAAATTCCCAGTTCCCAGACCCTGCCCAACAAACCCCATGTGATTGGCACTTTCTGCTTTAAGGCTATTATGTGCTTGTGCCCACGAGGGGACCAAACACAGCATATCCCTATGCCCCTTCTAGGCACCATTCCGCTGGGGATGGGCCTGCTGGCTGTGGGTTTGTTTGCTGGTGTATTTGGGCATAGGAGGAAAAATCAGGATGAATTAGTTATTCT